GACCCTTAAACACATCCAGGGATGGTGCCTCAACCACATCCCTGGGCAGCCTATTCCAGTGTCTGACCACTCTTTCTGTGAAAAAAAATTTCCTAATGTCCAATCTAAACCTCCCCTGTTGCAGCTTGAAGCCCTTCCCTCTTGTTCTGTCACTAATTACCTGTGAGAAGAGATTCTTCATAAGATTTATTCTCTAGGCTCTTCACCAGCTTCATTGTCCTCCTCTGTACTCGCTCCAGCAGCTCAATATCTCTCTTGAATTGAGGTGCCCAAAACTGGACACAACACTCCAGGTGTGGCCTCACCAGTGCTGAGTACAGGGGGACAATCACCTCTCTACTTCTGCTGGTCACACTATTTCTAATACAAGCCAGGATGCCATTGGCTTTCTTGGCCACCTGGGCACACTGCTGGCTCATATTCAGCCGCTTGCCAATGAGAAGCCCCAGGTCCTTTTCTGCCAGACACTTTCCAGCCACACTTCCACAAGCCTGGGGCGTTGCCTGGGGTTGTTGTGGCCCAAGTGCAGGACCCGGCACTTGGCCTTGTTGAAGCCCAGACCATTAACATGAGCCCAACGATCCAATCTATCTGAGTCTCTCTGCAGAGCCTCCCTGTCCTCATGCAGATCAACACTCCCACCTAGCTTGGTGTCATCTGCAAACTTACTGATGATACACTCCATGTCCTTATCAAGATCATCAATGAAGATGTTAAACAGAAGTGGTTCCAACACTGAGCTCTGAGGAACAACCACCTGTGGCTGGCCCCAGCTGGATTTGACTCCATGACCACCACTCTTTGGACCCAAATGTCCAGCCAGTGCTTGATCCTTTGGAACCAATTATATAATTATATAATCCAATTATAACTACCACTCAACTCCATTGTGTATATTGATGCTTAAAACCAAATGCACTGATTATCTTGTTAGAGGAATTTAGCTGTATAAATGTAGAGTCCTTGCAAATAATAGGGAAAATTAAATATGTGTTTTAAGACTTTTCTGCAGACAGGGAGATAGCATGTGTCAATATTTACTGTTCTTGCTAAGTCACTGCAAAATGTTTGTATTCATCTCTGAAAGTAATTTGCACAGTGGAGTTTTGGTGATGAAAGATTAACTCCTGAGTGGTGTTAAGCACCTGCTTCCATGCTAAGCCAGAACATGTGTGTGCCTTGAACATACCATGTCTGGCCAAGTGCAATTAACTCCATAAAACTATTTAAAGCTGAAAGGTATTGTAGAGGAGAGTGAGGGCAGAATACACTCATGTCATGCCTGGGACATCTTACCACATATTAACTATCCCTTTAAAATCCTAGCACTGATAAAATATTTCAAAGGAAGATACCTGCTAGACAGTCATCTTAAAAAGAGCTTTTTCCACCCCTCACTCATCCAGGTAAGCAAAGTTTATGGCCTTTCCAGAACCTATCACACTTGGTTCTCTGCCCTTCTCATGCTATCCCCTTAGCCCATCCTGGTTTTGGTCTCATCTACCCTGGAGCAGGCAGAGAATCTCCTTCTTCTCTTGCTGCACACAAACTTTGACCGTAGTAACTAATGTCTCACCATTCCCATATGAAGAAGAACAAGGTAAAATCCAGTCTCCTGGATAAAAGTCTTATATGTTAATATTACAGTGCTCTACATACCTCACCATCCTAGAAAGGGGCTTTTCTACAGCTGAGAAATGTGTTCTGTGCACCTTTTGACCCTGCCCCTACTGAATGGGCATCACTTTGTTTAAAATTCTTTGCACAGTCTGTATTCCTGTATTCTGGTGAACAGCATCAGTGTTCCCAAATACAGAATAACTACTGGTAATTGCCCTGCCAACACCAGCCTTCAAGACCTGTACAGTGCATAGTAACCTGTTATCTATGCTTTTTTTACACAGTAGTACCTGGGGGTACCAGTCCATAGGAAAGGACATGAGGCTCCTATTTGTGAAAATGGGGATTTGCAGGTTACAATTTGCATGTGCCGGTGGGATTTTGGAAGGAAGCAATTCACACTTCAGCACTTTTCAACATTTTCATACATGGCAAGGGAAATATGTGTAGTTATATGTGCCCAAAGATATCAATAAGATTATTTTTAAACAGAAACATTTTATGTTTTTACAGCATGTATACAATTCCTCTTAAACAACTGCTTTCCTTTTTAAAATTAACAGCAGTGTTTGTTTCCTGTGTGAAACCTGGTTTGCCTCTGACCAATTAAAGTGAAGATAAATGTGTCAGGAAGCTGTTTTGAATACAGCACCTCAGCTGCAGAGTAGAGCTTCTCTGAGCAATTGAAATGAAAGTATCAGTAAAAACAAATTGCACAATTCAGTTGTGGCTGGAAAATTACTATATGAGATTGGTAACATGACTGAACTACTTCTATTACTTTCTGTTGCATTAGATAAGGTAATAAATACTTCATAAAAATATTAGAGCAAGCTTTATTTTATTCCATATTGTGGAAATAAAACAATATTGCTAGCAGAAGACTGCCTTTAGGGCAGGAAAATGTTTTATTCTCCATTCCTGTATAGTCAAGAGCCTTTTCTTCTGGTTCTGCCAACAAAGATGCCAGTTAGTGTCAAGTAACATTTTGGTACAGCTGATGAGATATAAACCTAAGGGAGCTTAGTATGGTGAAATGAATTTGCTGTCCTAAGAGACATTTTTGTTGTTGTTGTTGTTTTTTTTGTTTGTTTGGCTTGGTTTTGTTTTGGGTTTTTTTTGCAATTGGACCTAGAATTCACTGAGACAGGGGGGAAACAGAACACCACTCTTGCTGTTTTCCAGTTTGTATCACCAGTTCTGCACAGGGAGTTACCACACCGAGCTCCCTTTTTAGAGGAAATGAGCATTACATAAACCTTCAAAATACACAGATTATACCCACTTAGTAAGGTGAACCCCACACCAGCTTCACGTTAATTCTCTATTACTTTCATAAATATTTCAAACTCCACCTAGATAAATCATAGAATCATTTCAATGAAATCCAGAGGAGATTGAAATCTGCCCAGGTGCATGCACAGAGCATGTCCACTGGTAAAGATAGATCTCAAGTACATAATTGAGTTTAATTTTATTTCCAGCTTCCCCATGAATTCAGGGTGAAATCCTGAGTTACCTTTGACCCAATAAAAGCTGAGTGAGGAAGATTATGGTACCTTGGAATGAGAAGGCCACAACCTCAGCAATAAGCCAATTCCTAGTGCCGTGTTTGTGATCACTTCTTGGGTTTCAAACCTATTTCTAACAGGGTGCTTTGCATGTGCTCTTGACTGCTGGAAGAGGATGGGCAGGGGATCAGCCTGCAAAACTGGCCAGGGCAATCCATAAAGGAGAGCAGTGCCATCATCACTGGATTACTCCAGAAACCCAGCCTGACAGGCAAAATTATTTCCCTTCCAAAGTGCACTGCTGAGCATTTGCTTTAATTAATGAAAAAGAAGGTTGATCTGCAATAAATGTCATATCCTGACTTTCTTAGGTCTGCAAAGATTCCAGTAGGAAAGTAAATCCAGCTTTGAACCAAATACCAAGTTCTGATTGTATTTCCTCTACAAAAACATCAATAGCAGCATAAACCTACTACTGTTTTTTGGTGGGGTTTTTTGGTTGTTGTGGGGTTTTTTGTGTTGTTGGTTTTTTTTTAAGAAAAATTCACCTTATATACAGAAATCTCTTGGGTAAAAATAGGAATGAAATCATTGCTGCTATAAAGAGGAGGGGTGGCATACCTTCCCTGTCTGTCAAGCTCCAAGCATTTGGAACTCTCTAAATCATAGGAAGCACGGGGGTAATTATAGAACTGGAAGCTGATTACTGTAAACATTGAAAAGTAGTTCCTAGTAACTGGAAGCTAGAGATAATGTTAGCATGATTACAACTATAAAGGAACTGTGCAGGTCACTGATGCCCACCATTTTTCTCTTTTCCTTAAAAGTAGGTTTTCTCACAAAGCAACAAGCAACCTAGTCAGTGTAGCACCTTGTATATTAACGACCTGTTAGTATCATGAATTGTTTGTTCTCTGTCAGATCTAGTGTTGATATGACAACATTTGGATCACCAGGATCTGATTACTTTCCTGTTGTGCATTAAGCAATGTAGCTAACAGCTACTGGCAGCTTGTTCTGTCATCTCCTGGCACCCCTCATCACTCCCAGAGGACCTGCAACACGTTTCTGGTGGAAAATGCCTGGTCAAAGAAGGGCAACTTGCACTGCAAGTAGATCAAGAAAACGTACCAAATGGGTTTTAGTGCCAGGGGTGTTTATTTCTTCACCCTTGGGGCAGTACAGTGAGAAAAATTAATCTCCATCACCCTTAACAGAAGGAGCTCCTTCGTGAAGGTGCATCTCTCAGCCACATTGTGCTGGATCATGAAAAAATACTCAATCTGTGCCTAAAAGAAGTTACACCACCAGGACAAATATAATAACACTTCAGCTGAAAGTGATACTCTCTCGCTTGCTCAGACATACTAGAATGACTCTGTGACATGGCCAAGAGAAAAACTGCTTTTCTGGCACCAGTTTGTACTCTGCTCCTGTCCTCAAGTGGGAGGATATACAGAACGTGTCATTTTTATTCTACATAGAAAATTTAGCTTATTTATGGCTATAATCCCTACTTGATCCTTACAAAGCTATTTACCTCAATTATATACATTTCAGATAACAAGTTCTGCAAGTTAGCTACCACAAGTGTAAGAACATTGATTTTCAACCACATCCTTATGCTGTTATTATGTAACCCCAAATTCCAGCTGTATTTTGCATTTGAGGTAGAATTTTCAGAACTAAGACAACAAGCTTTTGAAAAAGCCACCCTTTTATCACATAAACTTATCTCAACTCCTACCTGAAATTATTTAGAACTTGAGCATATTATGACCAAGAAGACAAGAGCCCTTCCACATTATTTGACCTGAAGAAACTACTCCAAAAAGTGCAGCTTTTGCTACCTGGCAGTAGATTTCTCACCATGCTGTATAATCCCATGCTCCAGAAGCCTGCGGCCGAGCTGCTCTGCTTCGCTCCGTGTCGTGGCCTCTCCTTCCTGGATCAGCCAGTCAATGAACTCCGATGCTACAAAGGTCCGTTCGTACTTGACTCCTTCCTCTTCCCTGGCTTGCAAAAGGGTATTTTCAGAACTCATCAGCCTGGCAATGGGGGTGGAAAAAAATTGGAAGGGAAAATGGTTATTTAAAAAAGCATCTCCAGATCTGTTCTGGCCAATCTCATTGATATTAAGCAAACATGTGAACCTTTCACTGACTTATTTAATCTTTCCTCCAGCTATTGGTCTAAACAGGATGTGAATTATAACTGCTTAGTAAAAAAAAAATTAGGCCTTATATCCCTGTGTGAAGTTAATACCTTCTTGATTTGTTTCCTGAAAGACAACAAGGTTTTTCAGTTTCACATTTTGCCTAGTTAGTTCTTTAGCTTCTCTAAAAATGAATGTATAAACAACTTTGAAACAAAAATTAGCCTAAAAGCACCAGATTGTGACTAATGTGTTCAAAAAATCCTAATTATTTTTTACAGTTAGCAGGACTATGCCCCAAGATCATTAAGATATTTTTGAAAATTCTCTCCATAAGCTTTAAAACAGCTGCAGAAAAATCCAAGGGGAAGAAAAAAAGGTAATTCTGAGGTTTGGGTGGTTGATATATATTTGGTGTCCAACACCCAGTAAGGAAGCTGCAGTCAGTGATGTTACACACCTGAACACTCGGAGTCTCAGAGCTTCTGTGCCCCAGCTGGCTCCATGTAACACCAGAGTTCAGAAGAACATCCTGAGGTGTCTCTAAATCCCCTAGCAATTGGCATGCACCTAGTTTAGGTATGCTAATAATATTCTTCTCCATTCAAGTAACCTACAATGACACAGTATTAAAATTTTAAAAAATAATAATAAAAAATCTCAGTATTTGTCAATGCAAAAGTAAGGCTGACCCTTTGAAATAAAAGATTGAAAAAAGAAATTATTATTGTTCCCTTTCAATACAGAATCACACTTTTTTTGTTGTTGTTGGTAGACCAAGCACCATAGCCTCCTTCTTTATTAATTTCATTTATCTTCATAATTGTTTTATTTGTTATAGGCTAATAACAGGAATAGTGGTAAGACTTCCAGACTCAGGTCATGAGTTGCATGGCTATTTTTCCTATGCAAGACTACTAAGTCCTCTCCCTTCACCAACCATCTCGAAAATAAGGGCACTACTGAACTGTAACAGGAATATTCTGGAAGCACTTCATCTTTGCGCCTCTGATTAAAAAAAAATATTAAAAATTTATGTAAATCCATATGTGTCTTATCTCTATCTTGAACTGCCAGCATGTTCAGAGTCCATGGAATATAACATCACCTCCTCTAGGAGCCATCAGAAAAATCTGTGCCATAAGAACACAGAGAAAAGCTTCATTTGAAATTACAAGGAGGTTTGAAAGAACTCAGCCCCTGTGATTTCAAAGATTTATTCCCTTGGCTTTAACAAAAGCTAACTAGAAGCCTGAACTAACTGGATCTAGTGACCAGGCAGCAGGCCACATAACCATGCAAAGGCTGCTCAGCCACAGCTGTTTGTCAGTGGCAGATCCACTGAACTGTGTGTTTAGATGTTGGTGCATCTTTGCCTGCACCTCTGAGCTGAGTACGAACTAAGGGAGTCAGAATTAGCTGAACTCAGGGACGAGGCCAAAAGCAAGAGATGTGTTACAGAGGGCAAGGTGGTGACTGTAGAACTCTTGCAAAAACCTTATTTTTATTATTTTTTTTTGTATTTTGATTTAAATGCATCTGCACACAAAGCAATGTTTTGTCCCAGATGAACAACATCTAATACAGACGGTGTTCCAAAATACAAACCCAAAACTCATGTTTTTTCATACCATCTGCTGCATGGCTACCCAGAACTGGTTACCCAGGCTCTGCAGGCACCAAAGAAAAAAATCCTTAGTATTATTTTAATTGCTCTTTGATGAGTCTATAATTAGTTGACCAGCTCATTGATGTCACAGATAGAGAGGTCCTTTAAAAAGAGATGCTAATTGTTAGATTTTTACAGAGAGACAAAAGAAATTTGGAAAAATATCAAGTGGAAAAACACTCAGCTTGACATTTCACACCCTTCTGCATGTGCCCAGAATAGCACTGCAAAGGATTTGGGCTTGTGAACAAACAGACACGACAAATTGACAGCTTAACAAACCCAACAACAGCAATCCATAGACTTACATTGCTAACTGAAGTAATTCACTGTAACTCCATGGCTGTCAACAAAACTGTACCAATTTATATCAGCCAAAAACCTGGCCTTTCATTAGCCAGAATCAGAAACTGCCTCTATCTCTTCCATTTTCTCCTTGTTTAAAAAAACATGGAGCTATTCATGTCAAAACATATTATCTGCTAAAATTGGCATTATTCCGCATTAAGAGAATGCATTTAGCCCAACACTGAAATTCAACCCATTTTCAAAAGAAAATTTTAACCTTGTTTTACCTAATTAACTGCATCAGAGAATAAATTTGACTTAACCACTGATGAGTTAAAATGAAAGTGGTTCAAAGAATGCAGTGTCAAAATTATCAGAATTATTTCCTGAAATGAAAACCATGAATCTGCACTTCTTTCATTGTGAAATCTGGTTGAAAAATCTCAGTTAAAGTCAACACCATGAGATGACTTACAGCTCCTAAACCAAACTGGCCCAGAAACAACAGTCCTATGTGCCTGATCAAAACCTCCTGCAAACTGCAAACATCATAAAATAGGATGCCTGCACACTTGATTAATTTCAATTTTTTTTTAAGCTCTGAAAGGTCTGTGATGGATTTCTTTAAGATTTTCAGGGAAGGCTGATTAATAGGGTTGAATTGGAAACATGTTTATCACATTTGATCTATCTGGTCAGTCCTGTAGAGTATGAAAACTAATACCATCCTTGGACCTAAGAAACTGTTAAACAATTTACCAACAAGACTGCAGGAAATCAAGCAGGTTTCATCTCTAGTTATAAACTCCAAGGCATGTTCATAGGAAGGATTACCAAAATTCACAATGATGAGCAGGGAATCTGAACTGATTGATGATTTTCAGTGCAAATGAAGGGAGAAAACAATTAGAGGCTGATTTTAAATCCAAGCACACAGCCACTGAAGATGTCCGCAGTAGGCAAAAGAGGTCATACCACAAGAGAAGAGAATCCAGGCTAAGAGGAGCTTTGTGCTCACACAAAAGGGAGAAAAGGAAAGAGAGGTCCTCAGCAGGGGAGACAGCCTTAATGTTCTCCAGTCCCAAGGGAGAACACAGGGCATTCACCCAAAACAGCTGGCTGAATGCAGGGCACCTGCCTAATGCTTCCATTCCTCTGCTCATGCAACAACCTGCTGATCCTCCAAAAGCATTTTGCTGATTTTAGCTATTGAGGGTACAAATCTGCATGGACTGCTCTTGGATAACATGTCCATAGCTCTGGGCAAGCACAAACTCCATTTGCTTCTGAATGTAATGGTACTCCATTCCCAGGGCAGTGGGTGGAGAAGGGCAGGAAATAGTATTATAATGTCTAGTTTAAACTAGCAAAGTCTAACAAAGATCAGCAACAGCTACAAAATTAGACACAGATTTTTAAAATATGTTGGATTCAGAGAGATTTCCTTTGGCATAGTTTCATTTCTCTTGAAATTAGGCCTAGAGGCATTTTGATAAACATGTTGAATGTACTGGTGAATGACTTCAGATCTGTGCCCGAATGATTTTCTCCAGCTTTTGCCATTTGATAACAATTTTAATTGCACTGAATTAATATTTTCTTGCTCAACACTATCAGCAAATTGATACAACTACCACACATAACCATTTCATTGCAAAATGTAGTAGTCTGACTTTCACTACTAGATTTTGAGTTTAAAATGCATCCAGTGAAACTATGAAGGTCTTGCTAACAAATGTGCATGGACAAAGGACCAGGTAAAATCTGAGTGCTCTGCACACTGGATTTGCTGCAATAAACAAAGTAAAGCCCAGATAGCCCAGGTTCTTATCTCACATGAACATATAATATTTCCAATGATCCATGGAGAATTTTTACCAGCTTTGACTGTCACAGACTGATTTTGAAATGCCAGATATTTTTAATCTATACTATATTTGGCTCTCAGGGCTGGTTTCAAAGGTTTCTGAACCCTTTAGATACGTTGCCTAGGAGCAACTACCTTGTGAGGATGCAGTTATATTTAGATATAGGTACTGCTTTTGGCATTAACCCTTTTCCTAAGATGAGAACAATCTAAACTGCTATGAACATTTTTCTGCTAGTATAGTGTTGCACAGACTGGACACTAAGACATTGGTTTGGGGACAGTCCTCCATGCAGAGAAGTAGGGATGCAAGCAGACACTGACAGAACAGAGTTCTTTCCACCACAGCTCCTTTCATGCAGATGACTGGAACCAGCCACACCACTACCACCACCAACAAAGATTTTTCTTACAAAAGAATAGAAATATAGAAAACAAAGAGAAAAAAAGGTTTGCTACTGTAGACACACTGATGGGCTTTTCAGAGTATGGACCAGGATTGCAGGCACTGTGTGTTACAGAGTCTAAAGGAGCAAAAGCTGTGCTTAGTAAGGCGCAGAACATTTTGCAGGTGGGTGATTCAATTCATTTGTCCCAATGCATTCACTGAAGGATTTTATCCAACGGTGTATTTCCTTGTGTCTCATACAATTTATTTATTTATTTACTTTAAATAGTCAGAGTCATTGAGTCTCAGGGAACTTTATCTGAATCCTAAATTTTACACTGAAACCTAAATAAAAATGTCATTAATTACAGACTGGGAAGTATGATTAAGCTGCCTAGTTATTTGACAGAAGTAATCCAGTGGGATATTCAATATCTCAACATAATCACCTGTTTTGAATCTTAATTAGATGCTCTTGGATAGGTTTGGTTTGGGTTTTTGTAAAAAAATACTTATAACCTTTCTGAAGTAGAAATTTTGCTGATTAGAACACTGAAGCTTAATTTCACATATTATTTAAAATCATACCTCCTGGTGAAGCTGTAAACATGGAGTCTCAACAAGTATATAGGCACTTGTTCAGTACATTTTGATGTATTCATGTTTTAGGCCTTGTGATTACAGTTTTACACAGCAAACCATCCTTTAGAAATATTTTTTACAGGACAGAGTACAAGGCCTTACATCTCTTATTGGAGGTATTTACAACGCAGAATGTCAGAAAATGCTCTTTCATTTTAAAGAAAATGCTACAAGTGAACACGTAGAAAAGCAAAAGAGAAATGGGAGAGAGAAGGGTTACCAGCTAAAATCATGGGAGTAGACAGACCCATTCCTGATTGATTTGAAAGCCTCTGACTATTCAAACATAGACTAACAAGTATCATTTGCCTCCCATGGTACTGTTATCAACACATTACAGATACAGAATGCAACATACTTTTCATACAGTCTTTGTCCTCTCATGAACACCTTCACCTCGTTGTCCAGTGGAAATGTCCCGTCATCTTTTCGGAAGCGGTAGAACAGTTTTACATCCTTGAATTCCTTATGCTCATCACAGACTGAAACACAAAATAAAGAAATAATTATTCATATAGAAGTCAAGGAGTTGAGGATCCATTTGGCAGGTCTTACTGTGGAACTTCAACATTTACATTTATGGAGCCTGAACTCCTGTATTTTGGTGCATACAACTTTATTCAGCTCTAATAACTGATGAAAGGTTGGAGGAAACTTCTGGATAGGTAACCAGATTTCTTGGTGAGGGGGATAGGTGTTCATCATTTTGTGAACAAAAATGCATCCATCTGCTATATACCCAGAAAACCTTTTGATTAAAACATTCTGTTAGCTTGTTTGTTAAAAAAAGAACACCCAATAATTTAAGGATTCACAAGGTTCTTGAAGTTACTTGTATCATTTGAGCAATGTTGTAGGAAACCTGACACTTGCTGCAGAATCAGTAAAAATTAAGGCCTTCTGACCTCTTAAAATTGTCTTGCTTGTTCTTCCATGCCAGCTAGCAAATAGTAGGTACAACAGGAGCGAGCACACTGAGAAATGCTAAATAAGGTCTATAAGACAGCAGCTGATGATGAACTCTTGTAAATGTAGAGCAGAGCTCCAGCAAGGGCATAAATTATTGGTAAAGATATCCCAACCAAGCTTCTCCTAGCAGTGTTGCCAGCACCCATACATGGGCTCACCTTCTGCACTCCAGAAGCAGGAATTGGTACCCCTGTCTTTTGACACAGGAGTTGAAAGGAAGGTCTGAGCATCATGCAGAACCTGACTGAACCTCTCTGAACTTACCCTAAATCACTTTGCAAACTATTATTAAATTTGTGTGCAATACATGAGCATTTTCAAGAAACACCTGCTCTATGTGTAACACATACACTCATATGTAAAATTTCTATGAAAGTGTGCAATTGGATCCTGAGGTAGAAAACATTTGAAGGCTGTTAAAGCCTTAAATGGGCATTCAGCAATAAAACATCTATCGCTCAGTTAAATTCAATCACTCAGGCAGCCACGTAACTCTTCACTGACATCTTCTCAATAGAGGATTAAGTAGTCAGATTTGAATACCCCATAATTACTTTATTCTTTAACTATCTACTCTGAGTCCCGGTTTCCATAACAACACAGAATTTTAATTTAATAGCCAAGCAGAAGCTGTAGAAGTGGCACTCATTCAATATGTGCATTTCTTCCTTTAATTAAGGTGGTGTTAATGTATTGCAGATAGCAGCACTATTGCTGCACATACACTGACCTCTGCATAAAGTCAATATTTGTCTCTTTGCAGTTGCTTCATTTTCTCTTAAAAGGGAAACAAATGGTACACTTTGCCTTTCTGAAATAGGTAATACTGTATGTTTGGAACCAAGGGCTTGGATCTTCTTTGTGTGTGTGCTTCCTAGCCTTTTTGTGTATCAAGAGGCAACTAAATGCTACCACTGAATTGGAAGTCTCCTTTTCATCAGCCTAAATTGTTATTCAAGAAGCTGAAAGGAACAGATCTCAAAGAGAAAACAAGTTTCAGAGAAAATTAATCAGGGCACAGTCAGACCACTAACTTTGTTGCAGCTGTACCAGCACTAATGTTTGTGCAGCTGGTGTGAGGGATAGGGCCAGAGAGCTAATCCACGTGAGAAAAATGACCTTTTTTTGCCGGCTGGTTTTTCAGATGGGTTTTTCAGCTGGAACACTGTTCTCTGGGGAGCAGGGAAGTGAGGGCGGCAGGGACAGAGAGGCCAGGATCCAACTGGGGCTGCTCTGGAGGCAGGGAAGTAGGAGCACAGTCTCCAGTGCCTTCCTTGGCCTGTACTGACATGGGGAATGTCACTCCACACCCCTTCAACCTCTCCACGTCCCTCAGGACACAGGAGATCTTGCAGAGCAGCATAGTTCAAGAGATAGGTGCTCTTTCTGGCAGGGAAAAGATCCTACCTGTCCTATACTTTCCTGTAGGAATGGGATTTCTCTGTTTCACAGCAGTCAACAAAATTCAGCTTAGAACTTTTTAGCATCTGATACTGCACTCACCATGGTGGATGATGCTGTGATCCAGTAATTTCTGCACCAGTTTAATTGCCGTCTCTCGGTCTGAGGCCTCTTTGTGGTCAATCAGCCAGTCGATCAGCTCTTTGGCAACAAAGCAGTTTGGGTACGTCTTGAGGTGGTGCCGCCGATCTTTAATGACCTTTTCTTCATGCAGTCGGAGCCTGGGAGACAAATCACCTTATGAGTATCATTTGCCAAGAGCCTCTGTAACTAGCAGGATTGGGGAAAGAGGGGAGCAGAGGCACCCGAGTCCTGCTCACAGGATGGGCTCGGCAGGTGTTGGATGGAAGAGGAAGAGATTCAGTCACACATCCAACTTTGAACCCCATGTTTGGAAAACTGGCTTGCTGCCCAGTGAGAAAGATTTAATACTGAAGAACAGCACAACATACTAAGCCTATCAAAATACTTCCCGTAGGTCAATTAAACTGTCAATAATTTAGAATTAATTTTCCCACATTACCACTAATACATTCCATGTTACTCTTATTTTGCAGCTTCACAGCCATAGAATTTTTTATTATTTTTTTTTTAATCTCATTAATCTTTTTAGCTGTAGTTTCTTCCTTGGTTTGGTAACTGCATTTTGCCTCCAGCTGCACAACCAGCATAGCATTTATGATTTAAAATTCAGTCACAAAGCTGTTCCAACACAATGTCATCTAGCACAAGAAAGTTGCCTCCTACTCTAAATAAAGGGAAACTGATTTCTCACTTGGGAAACTGTTGGTAAATGTTATCTATCTGCAAAATCTCCCCCACCATCTTGAAAGCAAGTTGGCTGGCTGCTTTTGACATACTTGCATCAGAATGCAAACTCCTGATTTTAATTTTACCTCCTTAGTAAAGGTTCTGAGATTCTGCTTTTTTTTTTTTTTCATGATTTTTTCTCAAATAAACAAAATCCACACCATTATCAATAAATTATTGGATACTGTTTTTAAAAGATTTTTAAGTTTTCTACTTTCTTGTTTCCATTTTAATTACTAGTTTTAACCTCTCTGTTTCCATAGTGCCATGTCTATCCAACAGTTCTGAAGAAAGTAAAGAAACCACAATAATTCTGGCCGTGATAGGAGCCCAAATGTTGTGAGTAATGCTGCAGTTTTAGGGGGTACAACTGTCTCTGTTTTCTAGAGATGGAGGTAGCACAGACAGGCTCTAAGATGAGCCTCAAGAAGCACAGAGCAGGAGTCCATTCTCCTGTCAATATTAATCCAGTATGAAACAATTATTTCTCTTTGGAATGAAAGAAGAGGAAAATATTTGGCTGAAATCAGTAAAGAATTACTAGAGCATCAGACAAGGCTTGGGTAGGCTTCTACCTAAAACAAGTAGCAAAGCAAGCTTTTGTTTTGCAGCATTTAGCCTTGAATTTGGGTGACACAGAGCACTGGAAGAGGTGTCTCAGAGAGGTTGTGGAGTCCTTTCTCTGGTGACACTCAAAACCCACCTGGACACATTCCTGTGTGACCTGCTCTAGGTGATCCTGCTCTGGAAGGAGGATTGGACTAGATGATCTTTAGAGGTCCCTTCCAATCCCTAACAGTCTGTGATCCTGTGATTCTGTGTACTACAATGGAATGGCCAGTATGTGATATGAATGTAAAATCAGCTTTGCAAAAAAACATTAAAAAATGAAGAGTTTTATATTAAAATTACTGATGAATCAGATTAGTATTCTGGAAAAAAGTGCTGGTAAATATCCTATGCACTGTGAAATTATCTGAGTTAAAATACCTTTGCTTAAAGCATATTTTCCAGATGTGCTCTAACAGCAGTTGCCATACTTAGAAAGAAAAGCCTACACAGTTTTAATTATAGAACATGCAATTATCAGTATGTCTAACTGAGTTTTACATTTGAAATATATTCTAGGTTCTGTTAATGCTCATCTAGTCTTACGTCACATAATAATCTGCAAGAACAAGAACAGGGAAAGTTTTCATCTGTGAGGGTCTGACCCAGCTTTCTGTCATTGGTGTAAGTCTAAATGGATGGAGCTCATATGATACAAGAAGGAAATCCCCTTCTATGAAATTCTTTGTCCAAACACCACGTAGGAGTGAGGCAGGACTGGTCTGGCATTCCACACAAAAGCCAGTAGCCAAGAGCCACATCAATGAGTTTTTATGTCTTGAATTCTAACAGAAGGCTTTGCTGCTGTTGGATGGCTTATAAATATCTCAAGGGCCCTGTCATGTCAAAAGACATGGGTTCCCACAACAAACTTTTTCCTCAGAGGGAGCATTTATAGGGTCTCCCTATACACCTTTTTGCCTATATTCCTAAAATTAAAAGAAATTGCATTATCTTTATTATCTCCACCCACTTCCTGAAGTGGATCCAAATTTGCTAAGAGTTTATGAAATCATTAAGTCTAACAGAGCGTGACCACATAAACCTCAAGAAATTTGAAAAGACAAATGTATCCACCTTTCCAAAGATAAGTGGGAACTTTTATAGCAATTGTATCCATACTGAATTATGTCCATGCTAATTTACTTGAAATAAAGAACAGAAAGGGAATTCAGATTTTCCCCCAGCTGGTCTATACTGTTCTCTCTCCCAGGGTTTCCTCACCTCTACAAACCCACTACAAATCAAAGTATGTGGAGGAGAACTAGCTCAATAAATTGGAATTGTACCTAGTCTAAAATACAAATATAAATGCCTCAGGTAAATTTATTGAGCATATGCTGCAATATGTAGAATCATAGAATCACGGAATCATAGAACTATTCAGGTTGGAAAAGACCCTTGGGATCACCAAGTCCAACCATCATCCCTACTCTACTAAGTTCTCCCCTAAACCAGATCCACCAACAACACATCCAAACCACCCTTAAACACATCCAGGGATGGTGACTCAACCACCTCCCTGGGC